ACATGTTATTCTTCTACTCAAAACCCTGTAAGACTCCTCATCTCACTCAGAGTAAAAGTCCTTACAATGGTCAACAGGCCCATATTAATGTTTTCACCTCCTCTCCTATAATCCTCCCCTGCTCATTTCATTCTGGCCATGCTGGCTTCTTTCCCTGGATTTACAGGTACACTCCCACCCCAGGGCCTGAACACTGAACACTACCTCTGCCTCTTCCCCAGATACCTGCTGATAAACTTCTAAGTGTGCTCAGATCTCACTTTCTCAACGAGGCCTATATGACTTCTGTATTCAATCTCCAGTCTCCCCACCCCTACGCTCCTGATTCCACTTGCTAATATCTGCTCATATTAGAGTTCCATGTAAGCTGGCAGAGGGGCTCTGCTCCATCCATGCAGGTACCCAGCCTACTCCATCTGAGGACTTCTGCCTCAGCCAGTCCCTTTGGAGACCATTCCATTTGGTCAATGTATATCAGCAGTGGGAGGATAAAGATAAAGAGGCATGCTTGCTTCAAACCACTTTGGCTGAGAAGTGATATATAGATAATATACAACACACCCTCCTGCGGCCACATGGGACCATATGACTAGTTCTCTCCAGTGGAATTTAAGAAAAAAATATTCTTGAAACTTCAATCACCAACTGCATTTTTGTTCCCTTTTCTTACACACAGAGCACCCTTACCTCCTCCCACTGTACCACATATGCCCAGGTGGAACACCTGTGGTCCGATTCAGTCACTGTGTCCAGGATCTCTGGATATGGCAAAGTCTTCTTCATAAGGATCATCTGGAACTCCTTAAGATGCAATCTATGAACCAAAAAGGCAAACTGTCTGCACCTTCCCTTCCTGCTCCCAATATACAAGGTGGAACCGGAGCAGCAGTTTCTTCCTTATCCAATAGCCTTCTTGGCCAGGTGGCCTCTGGCATACCCTCTGGAGGGCTGCACAACCTTCACAACCCATCAACCTATCCTGCCAGACCAAGTTCTCAGGGCTGTTGATGTTGTTGCTTTAATAGCAGTTTTATAGCTCAAATAGTTAAGGGCTTGTTCAGTTCAGGCTTATAATTTCTTTGCCAATGTAATTTCTTCAGAAACTTAGTAGGCCTTTGATCTATTTGTTTCCAGTTGATTGATTCCATGTGCCAGTAACCACACACAAAGTTCTTTCCTAAAACTAATGTATTTCTTTGACTCTTGCTTTCAACTTAACAGAAGCCACCTGGAGGCCATCTGAACAACATCAGTTGCTCTCAGCTTTGGCTGTACGATAGAATCACTTGGGGAACTTTATTTTTATTTGTGGCTTCTCTGCACTAGCTTTTTTTTTTTTTTTTTTTTTTGAGACAGAGTTTTGCTCTTGTTGCCCAGGCTGGAGTGCAGTGGTACAATCTGGGCTCACTGCAAACTCCACCTCCCAGGTTCAAGTGATTCTCCTGCCTCAGCCTCCCGAGTAGCTGGGACTATAGGTGCCCACCACCATGCCCAGCCAATTTTTTGTATTTTTAGTAGAGAGGGGGTTTCACCATGTTGGCCAGGCTGGTCTCGAACTCCTGACTGCAGGTGATCTGCCTTCTTTGGCTTCCCAAAGTGCTGGGATAATAGGCGTGAGCCACCGTGCCTCACCCACTTGGGGAACTTTTAAAGACTGTCTATGTCTAGGGTTTTATGTACCCAGACCAATAAAGCAGAATCTCTGTAGGCAGAACCAAGGGGATTCTGATAAGCAGCCAAGAACAAGAGCCCATTCCCTTAATCTGATCTTCGCCACAGGACTGGGTCACCTTTTTCCACTGAGAAGCTCTACTAGGACTTTGCTGTTTAAAGCCTTTCTCAATGCTTAGCTTTCTCTCTAGGGGCTGGAAGCAGTCTGTTTTTCCTTTCACTGCCCCAAGAATCAGAGCTTTCGCTGTTCCCTTTCATTTATTGCTTGTGCACTAACCAATTCTTTCTGAGCTCATCTCTCTCCTTTGTCACCTTACCATTAACAGTCTCACATTCTGATCTTTTCCAGCACTTGACCTAGAGCCCACTTGTGCCTTCCAAATTATCACAGATGATACATTTACCAAACTGGTTGCCACTATAAATAACATGGGTTTCTGACTTTCCCTCTGTAATATCAGTTTCCTCATCAAGTGTACCATGTGACTGCTAAGACAACGCCACAAATTTTAAGATTTTATTTTAACAGAACTCTACCTCTTGCACTAAAACTTCAGTGACTCAACACAAAGTTTTTATCATGCCCCCATCACAGTCAAGTGGATTGCTGGAATATTCTTCACCCATTGTTCAAGGACCCAGTTTCCTTTGGTTTCATCTTCTGCTGGGTCTTAATGACATTCTCTCCACCAAGGTAGCAGAGAGAGTAGAGAAGGCACTCTGCTATTCATTAACTATCTTCCTCTGGAAAGACACCTATCATTCTGTTCATGTCCCACTGGCAAGAACTATCCACATGGTTCCACTCAGCAACACAAAGGCTGAAAAGTGTAGTCTAGGTACGTGCCAACAACAACAGGAAAAGAGTAATGCTGACAAGCTCTAGCAGTCTCTTTCACACTCATAAAAACTTAAGCTCCACAGGGCAGGAGTCTTTGTCTGGTTTGTTCATAGATGTAACCCAAAAGCCTCTTATAGGACCTGGCACACAGTAGGCACTTAAAAATATATTTTGAATGAAAGAATGAACAGACAGGATGAATCTCAGATATGGTACCATATGGTATTTTCTTTGTAATAAAGGCAAACAAAGTGAACCAATGACTAAAAGAATAAATTATACTGCATAGTTACTGAGATAAAAACATTTAACAGAAATTTCTAGAAAATTCAAAATAAACTTCCAGGTACTAAAAACTCACATATCACATCTACAATGCAAATTCATACACCAGCTGGTTAAACACACACTTAAACTCCCATTGTGAGCATATAGAAACATTTGTTCAAAATATTAGTATAAACACAGCTGACAATCTTGAAGAAATCACTATTAAATTGTTAGCACATCCTTTTGTTAGCTGGAAACTTCTTTATCCAGCCTCAAAATTCAACCACATCTTCCTCAAAGAGCAAGAGCTCTGCATGTACAGAATCTTAAATTTGAAAACAAGTTACATACAGACACCTGCACATACTGCTAAAAGGCCTTACCAGTATGCATCTACCACACACAAGGCATGTATCCATCAAAATTCAGAACTGACACATTTATCATACTATCTTCAAAATTATGCAGGATGACAATACTTGCTTTTTAAAAAAATTTAAGTAACTATAACAAAAAGGAACTTATAAAACAAAAAAAGCTAAAATAAGAATAACAACCCATGAATAAGACCTATTTCATAAGAGAGTTGGGAGGATCACACTCAAATGTAAGAATTTATTTGGGATTTGTATACTTTTCGGTATGTACCTTATAACTTAATGAAAAAAATCAAGAGTAGATGAAAAATGCAAATCATAAAGCAGTATCAGTCACTTGTCTTTAAATAAATACAAAATCCCCATTTTTAAAAGGTTAATAAGTTAGCCAAATGAGGAAGTTCAAACCAGAGAAAATAAGAAGTTTCTCATTCTCCTCGGTCCAACATCCAGAATGAGAATTTTCAGTAGAAACATACCAGAAAACTCAGTCAACATGAAAATCAAAACAGCAAAAATTATCCCAGTGTGAACAGTTAGACTCTACCCTTCCCCCCACAAAAAAACCCCACTAGAAAAAACATCAACTATTAACATAGTGAAGTACTTGTACTTAAATAAACCAAAAAATAACAATTTGAAAATCTGTAAATTCTCTTTATTCAATAAAAGAAAAAACTACTGGTTCTTTTTCTTTCTTTTTTTTTTTTTTTTTTTTTTTTTTAGGATTTTAAAAGTGGTTCTTCGACCAAAAAAAAAAAAAAAAATTGGATTTCACAACACAACAAGACCCAGGATAGGATATTCAGTTTAACAAAATGTTATGGTTAATTATAACAGAAACCTATCTAGTTAAAAAAAAAAAAGTATCTAACATAACAGATTGTCAGAGATGAAAGAACTAGGGTTAAGTGTACGTTGAAGTTTGTTTTGTTTTTTTCTTTAATTCCTGATGTGAGTTTATTTGCTTTTACTTGGTTGAGTTTTAAGACAACCGAAGAGAAAATAAAAACTGGTTATTAAAACTTTCTAACACTTGAAGGCCAACAGACAATCAGGCTAAAGAACCTAGAACCTGAATTATGCTTCTTCCCTTATATGTTTTTCTACGTTTAGCAAACCAACCAACCAAAACTATTGGAAAGATTTTAAAACAAAGGCTATGGCAACTTTTTGGAAGGAAAATATGGCATTTTTAAAACTCTGCAAATAAACTGAGAGAAAGGAAGGAAAATAACTGATGATAAGCATGTTACATAATTTATAAGCACCACAGAAAAATCAGATATTGACTTCTGCCAAGATAGTAATATTTAAAAAACTACTTTAGAAGGTAAAGATACCAGTGTGGCGATGGTTGTAAAATATAATGTTTTTTTTCCAACTTTACAGGCATAAATATTTAACTCCTTTATTTTCTGCAACTTTCCCTGCAACATTTAAACCCTATAAATATGAGGAAATTTTGCTTGCAAAAAGAACTTTAAGTCTTACTTAAAACTCAAAAAAAATAAACACTGGGGGGATTCCCCTTGTACATTTTTAAAATAAGAAGAAACTCATTTTTCACTTTGGAAAGAGAGCAATGCAACATTCCACTTCTGAATAAAATAGACCATTTCAAATATACTATCTTTGTTTCCTGGAAATTTTTTAAATTCTGCTTTTAAAATCAAGTGAGAAAGCATAACATTTCTGCAAGCCTGGCATAAATGTTACTGTTAAGATTTTACTACACCACATCCTTATTTGGTAGGCATCCATGAGGAAGCAGGCCCAGGTGCTGTTACTGATAAAACAGATTAACACTCAGGGATACAGATGAAACACAAAGCAGTTACCCAAGAGGAATGCTCCTTCATCTGGTGCTGGTTGCTGTGAGGCCCACTGGCATGGCCACGCCAAAAGCAATTCTGGCAGAGCTGATAGTTGTGGCACTGCTGGCACCGGTACCGAAAACCCATCATACTCTCACACCGGCAGTAGGAGCACTCCACGGGATGGAAGACTTGCGGACAGGAGAGAAAAAGGGCAGGAGAGAAGGGATGGAATAAAAGAAGAAAGAATAAATTTTCATTTGGAGAATACAGTCAATACAGGGGAATACCAAATCCAATATAAAAACAAAGGTGAAAACAAAATTAGAGCTGGGTGCGGTGGCTCATCCTTGTAATCCCAGCACTATGGAAGGCTGAGGCAGGCAGATCACTTGAGGCCAGGAGTTCAAGACCAGCCTGGACAACATGCCAAAACCCTGTCTCTACTAAAATTACAAAAAATAATTAGCTGGGCATGATGGCGAATGCCTATAATCCCAGTTACTCAGGAGGCTGAGGCACGAGAATTGTCTGAACCCAGGAAGCGGAGGTTGCAGCGAGTAGAGATCGTGCCACTGCATTCCAGCCTGGGTGACAGAAAAGACCATCTCGAAAACAAAACAACAACAATAAAACAAAAGTAGGACTAAAGAATCTAAATTATCTGCTAGCCTAACCAGCCATTTACTAGAAAAAAAAGAAAAGACTCAATACATCAGAAAAAAAATTCAACATAGATTCCAATGTACTATCAAGGACAATACACAACTGTATATTATAGATCACTATTTATACTTTTAAATGTTAGTAGCATAATTTTTTCCTCTGACAATTCAACTCCAAACACAAAAAGAGAAAGTTAACAGAAATGAGGGATAGGCTGGGTGTGGTGGCTCATGCCTGTAATCCCAGCACTTTGGGTGGCCGAGCCGGGTGGTTCACCTGAGGTCAGGAGTTTGAGACCAGCCTGACCAACATGGAAAAACCCTGTCTCTACTAAAAATACAAAATTAGCTGGGTGTGGTGATTCATGCCTGTAATCCCAGCTATTCAGGAGGCTGAGTTGGGAAAATCGCTTGAACCCAGGAGGCAGAGGTTTCCATGAGTCAAGATAACAACACTGCACTCCAGCCTGGGCAACAGCAAAACTCCATCTCAAAAAAGAAAAGAGGGATAGAGCATTCAAATCTTCATTGAGCAACTCTTTCTAGCATTATATATATATAAGATCACAATCTTATTTCAATTATAGGGACTTTTAGACTTTCTTCCAAAAATATATATTAACTAATGAATCAAGACTCAAAAAAAATTGAGTATGAGGTGAGAAAAACAATATAAGATTATATAACATGACCACTAGGGACTAAAAGAAAACTAAAATTAGCAATAAAAAAATCCAAAGGATATTATTTCTAAGAAATTAAGTTTTTTGCCATCAAGATATTCCTAAGGAATGCTGTAAATACTAATTAAGAGTGTACACTCCAAATTAACTATACAACCTAGTATAGTTCCTCCAGAGAACAAACTCCATCAATCTCAGCTAACGTCAATGAGGTCAGCATCTGTGCAGCCAATATTTATAATTCTAAGTAATTTAGGTTAATAAAAGATATATGTGTATTAGTATTAAATTTTCAAATATATTCTGATAATTTTGGTTGAACATATATGTCTATGTGATTTTCCTGTGTTCTCTTCCAAACCAGTCAAGTCAATCCTTAGTGAGTGGAATGGGTGACAGGTAGAAAAGCAGAGAACTAGAATGATGAAAAAATTAACAAGTGTGTTGGGTCAGTTATAAATAAGAAAGAGAAGGACTGTTCAGGTTTGGTAAAAGTATTATTTTGGTAAAGTGCATCACTTAGTAGTAGTTAAGTATCTACTACCTTAGTAGTTACCTTCTTATCTTACTTGGATTAGTAAATCAATTTAAAAAGTACAACTTTTGCTGAAGTGAATAAACATTACTCCTTATGCATAGTAACATCGATATAATTCATGATGAACTTCATAGAGCCCAAACCAAAAAAAACAGAAATACCATTAATTTATAATTTCTCACTGTGCCCATCCAGGTTCCTTTTTTTTTTTTCTCCCATTTTTTCCTTTACCATTTTTGCCTTGAATCTGTTCTTGGTATTCCTCCCAGGAATTTGACATAAATTTTTGTTTTGCTTTGAGTTAAAATGGTACTTATCTCTTAGTAACATCTTAATTTTTTTCTGTTCTTCCCATCAGTTTATCTCCTCCTGTAGCTTGCCGGCGTTTGTTAAAGGGAAGCCCATTGTTTTTCTAGCAACATTCCCGGTCTCAAGGCTCTTGCCTTTCTTCATTCCTCAAAAGAGAATGAGGAAGAGCCAAGAAGCCACTAAAAAGAGTCCGTTTTTATCCCTTCTGGAAGAATAAAATCAATGTCCATACTGTTTTTATTTTATCGCTCTCCTGTCTATACTTTAGAATAAATTTTTCTCAGCCTTTTACCCAACTATGGCTTTAGTTCGCAAGTACCTCAGATTCAGGATTCGTTTCTTAAAGGACCAGAATCTCCCTAGACTAAACCAGCAAAATTTTAAAAACAGGATTCTTGGACAGATTTAAATTTTTGAGAGCAATGCCTTTATAGCCTTAAGTGTATTAGTAGTTTTATGTCCAACTGATTTTCATGAAAGCATTTTGTATTTGCTATTTGTCAAAATGTATTATTATCCATATGAACATTTTATTGTGACTTTTATAAAGTATAATTTATTGATTACATTCTTAATGTGTGTGGTTTGTAATATTTTTATCAAAGACAGAAATGTTATAAAATCATTAAAATATCTAGAAATAAAATATGTTACTATTGCACTAATATTTTTCTACATGTCTTAATTTTAATGGCAAGAAATTATAAAATAATGGTATTTCTGGTTTTTTTTTGTTTCGGCTCTATGAAGTTCTTGGCTCTTCCTCATTCTCTTTTGAGGAATGAAGAAAGGCAAGAGCCTTGAGACCGGGAATGTTGCTAGAAAAACAATGGGCTTCCCTTTAACAAACGCCGGCAAGCTACAGGAGGAGATAAACTGATGGGAAGAACAGAAAAAAATTAAGATGTTACTAAGAGATAAGTACCATTTTAACTCAAAGCAAAACAAAAATTTATGTCAAATTCCTGGGAGGAATACCAAGAACAGATTCAAGGCAAAAATGGTAAAGGAAAAAAAAAAAAGGAACCTGGATGGGCACAGTGTCTCACATCTGTAATCCCAGCACTTTGGGAGGCCAAAGCAGGTGGATCATCTGAGGTCTGGAGCTAGAGACCAGCCTGGCCAACATGGTGAAACCCATCTCTACTAAAGATACAAAAATTAGCCAGGCATAGTGAGTGGCAGGTGCCTGTAATCTCAGCTACTCGGGAGGCTGAGGCAGGAGAATTGCTGGAACCTGTGAGGCAGAGGTTTGCAGTGAGCTGAGATCACACCACTGCACTCCAGCACAAGTAACAACAGCAAGACTACGTCTCAAAAAAAAAAAAAAAAAAAAAAAGGAAACCCACTGTTAAACTATATCTTTAAATTATTCCAAAATAATTATAGTTTTCACAGTTGATATTGCATACGTACAGTTTTCTAGAACTATGAGTTCGATAAAGATGAAACAGGAAGTCATGGCTAAAAATCAGGTGGGCTCAAACAGAAAACAATCATCTGGAATCTTAGGGAGGAAAAGCATATAGTTGAAACTGTATGACCTGATATGACTACATCTTGGTATCTTTTTTTTTTTTTTGAGACAGAGTTTCGCTCTGTCGCCCAGGCTGGAGTGCACTGGCGCAATCCTGACTCATTGCAGCCTCCACCTCCCAGGTTCAAGTGGCTCTCCTGCCTCAGCCTACCGAGTAGCTGGGATAACAGGTGCCCAAAACCACACCTGGCTAATTTTTGTATTTTTAATAGAGATGGGGTTTTATCATGTTGGCCAGGCTGGTCTAGAACTCCTGACCTCAAGTGATCCACCCACCTCAGCCTCCCAAAGTGCTGGGATTACAGGTGTGAGCCATCAAGCCCAGGCTACTTCTTGGTTTCCTTTCTAAATTAATACACATCTCTTTGAGACCAGCCTGGCCAGCACGGCAAAACCTTGTCTCTACTAAAAAGATAAAAATTACCCAGGCATGGTGGCTGGTGCCTGTAATCCCAGCTACTCCGGAGGCTGAGGCAGGAGAATTGCTTGAACCCGGGAGGTGGAGGTTGCACTGAGCCAGGATTGTGCCACTGCACCCCAGTCTGCGCAACAGAGTGAGACTGTCCCGGACAAAAAAAAAAAAAAAAAAAAAAAAAAAAAAAGAAGAAATAGTAAGTGTCCTCCCTTTTTTAAAAGAAATATTCTTCTGAAAGCCAAAACCACAAAATCAAATGACAGAGTGATAACAAATTTCAAGTGTAATTTTCAATGATATTAAATAGCAAAAGACATTGCAAATAATCAGTTCCTATACTTTCTATAGCCTGAAGAATTAAACAATAAAAGTTCTGCTTACCATTCTCAACATGGGCAAGTCTGTGCATGAGAGGTAGCCAGACAAGGCACTGGGGAGGAGGGTCAGCCATCATTGTGTCTAAAAACATATTTAGCATTATCTTTCTCTGTGAAGAGAAGAAAAACAAATATACTTTATTTTATTTATTTATTTTTTGAGACAGTTTTGCCCTTGTTGCCCAGGCTGGAATGCAATGGCATGATCTCAGCTCACCACAACCTCTGCCTCCTGGTTCAAGTGATTCTCCTGACTCAGCCTCCCAAGTAGCTGGGATTAAAGGCATGTGCCACCATGCCCAGCTAATTCTGTATTTTTAGCAGAGATGGGGTTTCTCTATGTTGGTCAGGCTGGTCTCTAACTCCCGAACTCTGGTGACCAGCCCACCTTAACCTCCCAGAGTGCTAGGATTACAGGCATGAGCACCACACCTGGCCATATTTTTTAAGAATCTCTGAACTCCAAGATTAAGTTAATTTAAGATTTTCCCATCCAAGCTTTAGTGAATTACATGCTAAATTTCATAGCAAAATAAAATATTTTACATTACTACAGATACCACTACATGCTGTACTTTATACTACTATTAGTATATTCAAATGTATTCCCGCATATGTTATTTTATTTTAGTCAAATGTATAAGATAACCTAGGTTAGATATTACTATCGTCACTTTACAGATGAGAAAATGAATCATTTAAAGGTTTTTTGGTAGCCTGGCCCAAATCAGACACAAAGCCAAGACTGTCCTTCAAGTTACTATTTCTGCTATCCAGTGGGGAAGAGAAGACACCCCACACCTGAGTATAAAGCAACATCAATAAGAGCAGGGACTGTGGCTGCTTGTCTACCACATTTCCAGGTTTCCTAACAGTGCCTGGCACACAAGGAACACTTGATAAGTAACTATTGAAAAAAAATAAATCGAAGGGCAAACACCTAGACATCATTCAGCAGCTTTCTCACTTATAGAAGAGAAAATAGAAGCTTCAAGTAGTTCAAATAGTTTGACAAAATCACAGAGACAGTTACAATAAGGATGAGATTGAAACCTACATATCCCAATACCCATCACAATGCTCCTGTTATACCAGCTCAATGGCTTGACTGCATTTTTCTGTTCTATCTTTCTCTTTTTAACAAATATATGGTAAGCTTCCACTGTATATGAAATACTGAAATAACATATCTCACATAGACACCAAATTAGAAAACAGTTTAGAAAGGTAACATAGAGTTATATGATACAGAGAAAACAAAAATAATAATTTAAATTAATGAATTCTTTTTATTTTCTCCAGCCCACATGACACCTTTGTTCCAAAGGGAAAGGAAAAAGAAGCTAAAAGGCCAGGGTCACACAACCCAGCAAGAGAGCTCCGTGATTATAACCTGGACACAAAGACCTCACTTCAAAGTGTTCCAAAAGAAGAGCCGAGACAACAGGGCACACACTCAGCAGGTGCATGGCCGTCGCTGCCTCCTCTAAGTCCTGGTCCCACCACTCAGCAGCAGGTTGGTGGCTGGGGCAAAGCCAAAAGCACACCCAGAATTTCACCTTGCTCTCTCCCAAGTAACTGTGTTCCCAGCCCCACCTCTTAATGTGAAGAACAGGATAATAAAAAAATATAAGAATTTCCCCATAAAACGTTTAAATCATTTATTTCAGGGGGGAAAAAGGGTAGAAAAAATTGGTTAGAGCTGATCTAAAGACATTGGCAGCTGATTACAAAATAACTCCAATTTTTACCACTAAAAATATATATTTAACACAAACTGGAAGCGAGGAGTGAAGAAACTGGGGTGCTTGGCCTGAAGGACAGAGGCCCCCAGGGCTGTCATGGGACTCATCACAGGACCCTTCCAATGAGAGCTTCTGTCTCACAAGGCTCGAGACTAGACAGACTTTTTCCTCTGCATCTTTCTAGCAACTAAGAGAATCTTGATTCCAGTATATGTAAATTGGAGGTCATTCTTATTAAGAATAATCTTTAAAATAAGAAACTGGTAAATGGGGAATAGTAAAGGGAGATAGAGTAGAAGGCAGAGCAGGAAAGAAGCTGTGCAATACATATCGGGAAAAGATGAAGAAAGCCAAGGGACAGTCTCATCTCCAGACAGCTTGCAGGCCAGCATGAAGTAGTTAAGTAATTTGACAGTTTCTCAATTTAACTTCTAATATGGAACTTCTGGCTGGGGCAGGAGGAGTTGAGAGCTACGCAAAAGGGCTGACAGAATGATGTGGTATGTAGCTGTCATTCAAAGGGCCTCTATACATCTCACTCAGCACTGATGGTGAAGCATGAGAAGTACCTACTCAAATAGGCTAAAGAAAGGTTATCCTAAGTGTTTTCCATCTCAGAATCTAAGAATACTATTGTTTGAGATCTGGATGGAATCTGGGAAGAATCAGTGAATAACATTAAAAACCATAAAGCCACCTAACATTTGAATGAAGGAACAGATATGGAAAATGCCTCTATGAACATGCAGATAACCAAGAAACCAAAATTAAGTTAAAAGTGTCTATTTAAAATTGTTGAGATTGGTCGGGTGTCACGGCTCACACCTGTAATCCCAATACTTTGGGAGGCTGAGGCAGGTGGATCACCTGAGATCAGGAGTTTGAGACCAGCCTGGGCAACACAGTGAAACTCCATCTCTACTAAAAATACAAAAATTAGCTGGACATGGTGGCAGGTGCCTGTAATCCTAGCTACTTGGGAGGCTGAGACAGGAAAATCTGTTGAACCCAGGAGGCAGAGGCTGCAGTGAGCCAAGATCTCACCACAGCACTCCAGTCTGCGTGACACAGTGAGACTCCAACTCAAAAAAAAAAAAAATTATCCCAGCACTATGGGAGGCCAAGGTGGGCAGATCACCTGAGGTCAGGAGTTCGAGACCACCCTGGCCAACATGGTGAAACCCCTTCTAAAAATAAATAAATAAATAAATAAATATAAATTGAGATAGAAAATGCTAGAAAATTTTTAGCTAGTAAAAAGTGGCAAACAAAATTAAATGTATATCTTTTGTCATAAATTTAAAGTTCAAATTAATATTTCTATATCTTAAGTATGTTAAAAATTACATTTTTATAATCCACTTATAATTCTAATACTACTTTCTCTTTTTTTTTTTTGAGACGGAGTTTCACTCATTACCCAGGCTAGAGTGCAATGGCACCATCTCAGCTCACCACAACCTCCACCTCCTGGGTTCAAGCAATTCTCCTGCCTCAGCCTCCCAAGTAGCTGGGACTACAGGCGTGCACCACCATGCCCAGCTAATTTTTTTGTATTTTTAGTAGAGATGGGTTTTCACCATGTTGACCAGGATGGTCTCGATCTCTTGACCTCATGATCCACCTGCCTCAACCTCCCAAAGTGCCGAGATTACAGGCGTGAGCCACCGCGCCCGGCCCTAATACTACTTTCTCTTAAAAGTTTTGATTCGTTTACCATGAAGTTTTTTTTAATCTTCAAGATGAAAAGGTAGAATTAGATTTTGATATCTCAGAAGACCCTCATAAATAAACTCAGGATCAATCACTAAAAGTTGTTCAAAAGTAAAATGCACGAGCTCTGAATGAAGAGACCTCCTCCCCTCCGCCGCCCAAACAGGGTTTGTGTGAGCAACATGGCTATTTATTCACCAGGGTGTGGGCAGGCTGAGTCTGAAAAGGGAGTCAGCAAAGGGTGGTGGGATAGGAGTTGGTTTTATAGGTTTGGGGTGGGCAGTGGAAAGTTATATAAGTTACAGTTTAGGGAGGTTTTTTGCAAGCTGGGAAGGAGTGGTAGGTTTGCAAGCTGGGAGGGGGTCCTAGGGTGTGGAGTGTTGACCAAGATCGGTTACAAAGTCCAATGGTCTTATCAATTGGGGTGGGAATAAGGAACAATAGAGAATGTCTCAAAGTTAAGTAGTCATCACAGGGGTTGATCATTTCTTCCTCTTCTCATGGTCTTCCAGTTACTCAGAACTCAACTGGAGTGTCCATGCAGGTCACAGAGGTTAACATGGCCTCCATGGGGCTGTCAGTCAGCCTAAAAGACCTTACACTGAAGTTTTCCAAAAAATGAGGAATGAAACTAGCAGAGCCATGTCCAAGGGCTCTGTCTTCCACCAACTATGTGATTTGGAGAAAATCACTGCACATCTCTGAGTTTCAGTTTTCTCATCTTTCAGGGGCTAGAATAGCGGTTCTCAGTGTGATCAGGGAACCCCTGGGAGGGACTTAAACATTTTTATGGAGTTTCATGGAGTACTGCAGTATTTCATAATAAATAATACTAAGACATTATTTATCTTTTTCAATCTTATTCTCTGAAGAGTGTACAGTGGGGATTTCCAGAGACAATGTGACAAAACCAGTTATCTGAAAAGGCTATTAAAAAAGACTTCTCCCTTTCCCAACTATGTAGCTGTTTGAGGCCAAATTTTCTTCCAAATTTTAACCAAAACAGCATATCACAACAGATTGAATGGATAAGAAAATACGGGAATCCACGTGTCTTCTATTGAGGCAAATATTAAAAATATGCAAAAATACAAAACCAAGGCACTCTTCTCATTAAATTTTTGTTTGAAATAGTTATTTTTCATAAAAATGTTATTTATGTTAACATATAATAGATTCAGTGACTTTTTTCATTGTTATTTTCAAGTGACTTTTTTCCCCTCAACTTTTTTATTCATTGTATTTTTAAGTGACTTTTTTTTCCCCTCAACTTTTTTTTTTTTTTTAGACAAGAGTCTCGCTCTGTTGCCCAGGCTGAAGTGCAGTGGCACAATCTCGGCTCACTGCAACCTCCACCTCCTGGGTTCAAGCGATTCTCCTACTTCAGCTTCCTGAGTAGCTGGGATTACAGGTGCCTGCCACCATGCCTGGCTATTTTTTGTACTTTTAGTAGAGACGGGATTTCACCATGTTGGCCAGGCTGGTCTTGAACTCCTAACCTCAAATGATCCACCTGCTACAGCTTCCCAAAGTGCTGGGATTCCAAGCATGAGCCACCATGCCCAGCCTCAATTTTAACTTCCAATATGGAAATGTTGACAGATTTAACCCATATAAATAAAAGCTCTTTGAGATTCTCAATAATTTTTACA